CAGTGTAATACAGAGACCTACAGAGTATTTCTTGAATTAAAAACTTGCTTGAATGGAGATTACCTGACAGAATTTCTAATATAATTACAGTAGTAGCCAACATCAGCAAAATGCTCACTGTCAGGCACTGTTCTAAGTGCTTTACATGTAATAGCCCATTTAAATCTCACAACCACACTATGAGAAAGGTACTTTTATTATAGCTGTTTCACAAATGGGCAAAACCAATGTAAAGAAGTAAACTGACTCAACTAAGGTCATACTCCTCTGTGGGTTTGCTCCTAACAAGCACATTTTCCTGCTTCTGCTTCCTGCACTCTATCAGTTTTCCTTCTTTTTATAGCATTCTTTTAGTCTGTGTGGTTCCTCTTTTCATTATTACTTAGCTCATAAGCCTCAACCTTTATTGAAAAGAGGATGAGGTATAATTGTCTATAAACCTCAACCTTTATTGAAAACAGGGTGAGGTGTAAATACCATTCTTATTATAATGAGAAGGATTTATCTTATAATGAGAATATAGGGGAGAAATGTGAATCCAGGCCATTTGAATGTGAAAAGTAATTTCAAGTTGCTACTTTGTAATTCCATTACAAAGTAAAAAACACTTTAAATGACCTAGGTAGTAACAAAAGTTACTTTAACTAGTTAAGATTTAAGATTATTCTGAGGTCTAGCTGCTTTACGTATGCTGTATCTCTGACAGCAAGACTACTCATTATTTTCACCTGATTAATTTTCAGGAGGTATTTCTTAAATTCATTGTATTATTTATTTTTCTGTCATAACTCTTTCCAGAATGATTTAATTAGGTAAGTGCTTTAATTCTTACCATTTTTTAGAAATTTCCTTCTCCTTCTCACTTGATATTTTCTCAAAGTTCTATTCCATGGGTACCAAGGGGAGACAAGCAAGATAATCTCAAGCATAAAATTTAAAGGGGCTCTCATTGTCAGACATCAACCCTCAAAGTGAGTGTTTCCTTAAATTATAGCCTCCCGGGACCTCATGTGCCTCATCCTTGTCCCAGCCCTGTATAAAAACATATTGTATCGTAATGTAAACTTTTTAGTGTTTCTTTCTAATCTGGAGCATGCACTTTTAGTCCCACTAAAGAGGTGCAGAACCTGAAATGAAGACAGGTTTAGGAAATGTCCTAGGGGAGTCATTGGTAAATGCTACTGTATAACTCAAGCTCCTTGATTCTAATTTGATAATATAATTGAAATTTTATAAATTTCATGTTGGACTCAGATGATATTAGCCACAAAAAATGACTATTGGTTTGCGTTTTCTAGCTCACACATTTTTGGGGGAGGTTGCAGCACAGGCTACCCAGGGCAGTGAGTAGATAATTTTACGGGTATCTCAGAGAACCACAACCAAGTTATACAATATTTGTTTTTTATGCTTTTCCAACCTACTTTTTGTACTCTCTTTATCCTGAATCCCAAGGCACTCATATCTTTATGCCCTTTGGTTGTTCAAAGTTTCCCAGTCTAGCTATCTTATAGGGATGCTTTTCTCTGAAACTCTCATGCTCTAAATTACTCCCTCACAATGTACTTAGATGCAAGTTCCATCCCCTAAAGTGGTGGTGGGGAGAGAGCAATCTGATTGAATAATTGACTTACTACATATGCACTTCCCTATAAAATAAACTTGTTAAAACTTCAGTTAATGTCTACTTGATTAGGTTGTGTAGAAACTATTTCTGTCGGCTATTTTACAAGACTATATAGGGCAGGCAGTGCTCTTCACAAGTAAAACTGCATGTCAAACAGAAACAACTAACATATAGCTTCTGAAAGTTTTCCAACCATACTTTAGAAAATTGCCCTGGGTATATACTTATTTTGTGAGGAAATAAACAGACAAAACCATAGCTTCCAGCATATTCCCCATCCCAGAAATGGTGACAGACTGGCAGACACAGACTTAAAGATAACCTGTGAAAGGTACTATGCATGTATCTATTCTAGTATGAGGTAATTAATACAGATATTTTCTTAAAGAAGGAGTGAGATCTTCATTATTTAGATTACGATTCAAAGCAGAAGCTACACAAATCAGTGTAAAATTGATTTTACACTGTTCTGCAAGGTTAAGCCATTTAAGATTGGCTTAAATGAATTTCTTCTCAGGTAATCATCACTGAAACTCACTTTGAACCAACTGTACACACACTCAAGTGAAGCGCCATGATAACTGGGTGTAAAGGGAATGTAACAGATGCGTGCAGAAAAGTGCTTTTCAGCATAGCACACTCCTCATAAAGTCAATAAAAACAATTTATTCCTAGTAATGCAATGTTATATATTCATGTGCAACTTTCCTTTTATAATGAGCATCATTGTTAGAAGCAGGGGATACAAGGAAGGGACTTTTAAGGACATAAATGACTTTTATATTCTAAATTTAATTTATAGGTGTACACAGATTTATCTTATAGAAAAAACATCAGCTGTACTCTAAATTCCAAAACAGTAGAAGAAAACAAATTCTACACATAAATTTGATGCCTAACCTGTGGAATTCTTATGAGCATAGAATTTTCTTATAATTATAAACCTTTACCACTCAATTCCATTTGTTACTTAAGTATATATACAATCAAATGTCACTTAATGCCAGGTATATGTTCTGAAAAATGAGTCATGAGACAATTTCTTCATTTTGAGAATACCACAGAGCATACTTACATAAACTTAAATGGTATAGACTACTGTACACCTAGGCTATGTGGTATAACTTATTGCTCCAGGATACAAACTTGTACAGCATGACACTAAGCTGAATACTGTAGGCAATTGTAACACAGTGGTAAGAATTTGTGTATCCAAATAGTCTAAACATAGAAAAGGTACAGCAAAAATATAGTATAAAAGATAAAAAATGGTACATGTGAATAGGACACTTAGTGAATATGAAGGCCTAGGACATTTACTATATACTACTGTAGACTTTATAAGCACTATACTTTATACTACACACAATTCATAAAAAAAGTTTTTATTTATTTAGTAATAAATTAGCCTTAATTTACGGTGATGTTTGTAATTTATAAATCTTTTTTTGTTAACTTTTGACTCTTTTTAAATAATACTTAGCTTAAAACACAAACACATTGTACAGCTGAACAAAATCAATTTCTTTCTTTATATCCTTGTCCTATAAGCTTTCTGCTATTTCATTATTTTTCCCCCTCTTTAAACTTTTTCATTACCAAGACAAACACACACACACACAAACACACACACACACAAATTGCTGTAGGCCTACACAGGGTCGGGACCATCAGTATCACTGTCTTTCATCTCCATATTCTGTTCCACTAAAAAGTCATTGGGGCAGTAACACACATGGAGCTGTCATCTCCTAGGATATCAATGCCTTCTTTTGAGATACCTCCTGAGGAGCCTACTTGGGGCTGTTTTACAGTTAACTCTTTAAAAAACAAAAGTAGAGGGAGTATACTGTAAAATAATGATTAAAAATGTGTGGTGTGGTAAATACATAAACCAGTAACCCAGTCATTAATGATCATTATCAAGGGTTATGGGCTGCACATAATTGCACGTGCTATACTTTTAGACGACTGGCAGTGCAATAGATTTGTTTACACTAGCATTGCCACAAACATGTGAGTGATGCATTGCACTACAATAGTATAATGGCTCTGATATCACTAGGTGACAGGAACTTTTCAGCTCCATTATAATCATATGAGACCATTTGTTGTGCATGCACCCCATTCTTTACTACAATGTTAGTATGTAGTACATGACTGTATATATGTATGCATATACATATATAAGATTTCACTTACATCAAATTATACTCATCAATTTATACGTAGTTACATTTTAAATTATATTATTTTTAATACAGGAAAAGTCGTGGTACTAGGGGAACGACAGAAAAACCCAAAGTGAATTATGGTGATGACTTGTAATGTTTGGGTAACAACTTTACTACACCAATTCTTTAAAAATTGGACCTTCCCCGAAACAAGTAGCAGATAATACACAGGATGTAAATTTCATTGATGTACTTGGAAAACCTTGCAATGTTCATAAAGAAATGATGGAATTTGATGGCAAGTGGTTTCGAGGGGCCAATACCTTCAATGATATGCCTGATCTGTATGTTACTAAGTGGACTTTGGTTTCGAAACTGTGCATTATTAAGTGTATAGAACTAATGCCAAGGGGTGTTTTATTTAGAAAGCAAATGGGACTTTATCATAGAATATTGCCTGCTAGAGAAAACAATTTCTTTTATACTATGTTCTTCTCTACAATGGTATTGGATACTGGTGAAGAATTAGGAAGTACATGGGTTTATTAGTGTGGCTGAAAAATACCTTTTATTGAATAAAAAATAGCATTTCACTTCTTTCTCATCCGCAAGAATGCAGGGACACTTGCTATTTACTCAATCACACACACTAAAGGGAATCTTTTGGGAAAAGCTGATGCTGCTTTCCAGATAAGTTATGATAATGTTTCCAGCTTTATATTGACAACCATTTTTTTTTTCCTTCGAAGGATATTGAGAATCAAAATTATGTGAAGGAAATTTTGATAACACAACAAAGTGCATGTACCATTGTTTTCTGAGTAAACAATTAAAATTACTTTATTCTACAGTTCAAATTTAATCAGTTCACCGTTATTACAAAAATTGATCTGATAGCCACATACCATTGGAATGCAAATTCTGATGATGCTCTTTTTCTAATAATTGCAGAAATGTCATTTTAAATCTACACCCCCCCAAGAGCTTCACAGCATGCCTCTTTCTAGTTAGTCTTTTTGAGTAGAAGAAACAGGAAGCTCTGAGCAAACCAGCCACGCTATCTCTTTTGTGCACACGGTAGGGGCAAGGGCACTGTGGTATTGCTGTGTTGCTGTTAACTCACAGAGGTGCTGCCTTTCTTCTTTACCACTGCTTGCCTCCCATGGATTCCTCTGCTTCCCTCTGGGCCTCCTCACTAGCCTTCAGGCAACGTTTGGGTGACTCATGAAGAAATGGAAAATCTTGCAGCTCCAGCAAAAACGGTTAGTCTTAATGGCTTTGTTGAACCTGAAGGAAAGTGACTTTGCTGCTCTTTGGATGAGGAAACTAATTTGTTTACTATAGACCAGAGTAATAGGGTGTGTTTTTATAGTCATATGCAATGATAACTAACATTTTTTACAGTTTTCTTTTACTGTACTCTCTTGAACTTTTTAAATGAAATAGTGTTAGATTATGGCTAATATCATAAGAGCTTATAGTACACAAACAATAAGCAAGAATTTAATAAATAGTATTCATGTTGCAACACTGGAAGTTTTTGTAACAAATATCATTTAGTATCGGACATATTCACAGGTAACAGGTTTCTAAACCGAATTAAATTGGTAAAAGAAAAGATTAGATTGAATATTCATTTTTAATATGATTATGTGGTTTCTTGTGCTTTACCATCTTAGATACAAGCTTGATCAAACAAAACCCCCCAAAAACCAAAAAAGTGTTATGTTAATTTGGTACTGAAAAGCAAAATTTTAAAGAATGTCTTGGGGACTTTGTAATTGTCAATTTTAAAAATAAGATGTTATAAAAGTCATTTTTTTCACGTAAAGTAACAAAGTTGGGCATATCATATATTTTATCTTTATCAGCTGCTTTTTAATTTGATGTCTTTTCAGTGTTATCCTTTGAAAAATTGATTATCTTCAAGTTTGTTATGGATAAAAACACCAATGTCATGTATTAATTTCATTTTTAGTTTAGTTTTGTTGTACTTGGTTTTTGTCTTGTTTTGTTTTGTTGGTCGTTGTTGAAATCTATTTGATTATCTCCAAGCTTTGTTGAAGGGATACAGCCAGTTTTTTCACTTCACTAATTTACTTTGTATAAGATTTCTCTATCATATATACATATGTATGTTTGTCATCAGAAATTTTTATTATAGCACACTACATTTTGAAAATTACACTCATTTAAGAATTTAAAAAAAGGTTTCTAATGACCAAATCAAATATTCACAATATTATGAATTTAGCATTTAAATTAGAATTAATCGAAAACTATGTCGTTGCTGCCTAATTGCCTTTGAACTGCAAAACTGATCTCTGTGGGTCTGAGTCAGAATCTGTGTATTTATCTGCCTGTTATACAAAGCATTTTGTATAACAATTTTGTTTTTGCTAGAAAAATTTTACTGTATTGATTTGAAATTAATTTATATTTACCTGCTTTATTAATCATTTCCTGCTGCTAACACAGAAAGAATCTGAGGAAGGAAGCTGGGCCCAGGTAGGAGATTCATATGCTTTAAGACCCTTAATATCATTTAGTAGGCGATGAGAATATAAATTAAGAAACTGTCATAAGTCGTAATATTGTAAACCTTCACTTAGCTCAATATTATACTGATCTGTGTAGGTAAATCTAGATTACGTTAATACTTTATATGTCTTTTTAAATTACCATATTTTTAAAATAAGATGATTGCCGTTTCATACCTTGCCTCTTTTTAAAGGGTGCTTTTCTTTCTTTCTCAAAAGAATGATCCAAAACTTAAATTCCTCTGAAATCACTCCTGAATATATTTAATCAGGAAGCATTCAAGTTGGATCTAAAGGGGGAACAAAAAGAAAGAAAAGACTTATTTGGAGTTGCCCATGCCTTCAGATATAACGGAAAGTGTATGAAGAGGGGTTGGAGGTGCAAGTGTTGGCGTTGCAGACCACAGAGTCATTAACATTTATTGAAATGTTCGTATGAGATAGGTGTCTATACTTGGAACAGACCTGTGCTTTTGCAAGGAAGCTGTGCATTTTTTCTACATTTCCACATTTTGGATGACCAAAAGAGAAAATTTATGTTATATTCAATCTGATTGAAACCTTTCAATATAAGAAAAATTTTGGTAGTTATATTAGGACCTGTATATAAACACACAATAGGATTGTATTTGATTTTGATTTTGATAAAAATTTGATCATTGTTCAGAACACACAAAAGAAGAGGAGCAGTTATATTTTCCCTAGAAATACATATTAGAATTGAGAAATTAGAGCATGATAAGGAACTAAATGGGAATTCTGTAAAAAAATAGAGAATAATATTTCTTTTAAAATATTGGTTTAGTGATAATGGTTGATTTTGGTTTTCATTTTAGTTGTTTTGAACAATATTGGTAAGAATAGTTTACCTGTTATATTAAAGAGTTAGGTTATCTATCTTAGTTTTTGAACCCTGCTTCTTTTAGAGTGTATCTTGATTGATTTCTAGAAAAGGCTGATTATTTCCAGTGATTTTTTGGAAAGCTGATAATCTGCTTTGCTAAACAATGTCCATACAAAGCTTCAAAATTCTGTCTCTCCAAACCGTTTATTCCTTTCTCTGTTTACTGAGGTTTCCATTTCACATCAACATTTGCCATTACACTGTATGTAGCAATGGCAATAGTGGCATTGATAAGAGGGAAATAGCAATAATGACATTGACAAGAGGGTAATGACAGATACAAATAAAACAAACCTATCAATATAAAGACAAAATCTTAAAACTCAGAGTTTGTATAATACTTTCTTTATTAATAAAATACATACTTGGGCAAAATGTAATTCCTTTTGAGAATACAAAGTAAATAGCCAATCATTTTCAATAGGCAAATACTTTAATAAATGAATGCAGAGTTCCATTTTATACCAAATCAAATCAAATACTATCTGAATATTATTTTTGCTTTGTTTCCACATATCGTAGTAATTAAATATCAGTTATAATAATAGGTAATATTCTCCAATTACCATCTCATCTGATTGGTTAAGAAACTTGACTGCTATAAAACAATTCTAGTGTCCGGTTTTTCTACAGACCCTGGCTTATGGAGATATGAACCATGAGTGGATTGGAAATGAATGGCTTCCCAGCTTGGGGTTACCTCAGTACAGAAGTTACTTTATGGAATGCTTGGTAGATGCAAGAATGTTAGATCACCTAACAAAAAAAGATCTCCGTGTCCATTTAAAAATGGTGGATAGTTTCCATCGGTAGGTTTTTGTTTTTTGTTTTTTGTTTTTTTTGCCAAAGAAGAATTAAAATGAAACAACATATTAACTATACTTTAGTAAAACAAAAATGGATATCTAGAAGGTAGAAAATATATGTCATTTGAAACATCGTTTGTTTACGTCTACTTGGAAAAATATCTTCATCCAGCAAATTTCAGGGACTTTCTAATTTAGAGCTATGTGCATATTATGTGCCCGAACTTCATGGAAATATATGTGTACAAAATTCTTCTCATAGAGCATAAGTCTATTTTTTGTGGGATTCTTTGAAAATCCCATGTTTGTAATTTTATAGTTGTATGTGTTTCTATTAGAAAATTATTTAGAAAGAATAAACAGATATTCATAGTTTCAACTCTACAAAAATATGGGGTTATAAATTTTATAATTTAGTAACATTCTAGGAAAAACTTTGAGAAGAAATTCTTCATCTAAGACATATTTGTGCTTTTTATTTTTCTATGTCTTTTGGTGAGTTTGCTTATTTGTATATTAATTTCAGAAAGAAGCAATACTGTGTTGGATAACTGTGAGGATGCAGATGAACAACAGGCAATGTCTTTTTCCAAGTTGTTTACCATCCAGCAGATAAAAAGGGATTTGTTGCTATACTGTATCATAAATGCTGTGTTTATGTTAGGTGAAACAATGTCAGCTGGATTTTGGTTGTTTTTTTTTCACATATAGTTGATTGTGGCGATAAGTTAATAAATATAACCATAGATGATTTTGGCTTGAGAGACTGTATTTACTTCTCTCCTGCCCAACATTTAATCAGTGACTGAAGATGGTATAAAAATTAGATATGTTGATGACATAAAATTAGGATAAATAGAGGATAATTGGGGCTTTTGATTCCAACTTATGGAGATATTTTGAATTTTAATGCAGTTGTTGACACTGTTGAATTAAATGTGGTGAAGATAAATATAACGGTGTTTTTTAAAAACCTATTAAAGTGCTGGATGGAGAATCCATAATTTAACAGAAACTTGTGTGAAAAAGATAAGGAATGTATCATTAGCACGAAACTCTCCATTTTGGTTAATGGCTTGACAAGGCATGTTTAGACTGTGTTTATTGGCAGGGACCACAAAAGTGCTACCATATGGTGACATAACAAAAGTAAATTGCATTTATTTATGGGCATCAAATTGTTGTAAGGTGGTAGAAGTCCGATGATAAAGTTGAAGTAGTTAAATACATTTAAATTGGATGAAGGAAGATTTTAAATAAGTTTTCTTATGTTTTAAGATCATTATTATGTGATAGAAGAATTATATTTTCTCTGTTGAGTGTGTGATTTTTAGTTAACACAGGTGTAGATACTAGGGTGAGTGACTTCTACTTACTAGAAGAAACAACTTGGTACCACTCTCAGCTGCCTTGTAGTGTATACATTGTGAGGTAGTGAGTGAGCTCCCTGTCATGGGCAGTTTAGGGCTTCATATTTCATATGGTTGCATTAGATTTTGGGGGTCCAGTTTTTCCATTCTTCACTAGATTGACTTTTAATGCTGTTTTATTACTTTAGTAAAATGTTTTCTATAATGATCAAATTTAAAAAAAAATACTCAGATGACTTGCTTTTTGTCTGTTCTGGGAAATACCCAAGCTTCATTTTTAAGTTATGCTAATCTCTGACTTAAAGCAAGTAGTACCTGACTGTATATTTCATCCCATGGTCTTTTGGGCCCAGTTTTCCGTCTGACAGACATTTTCATAATATTATATATCCTCTGTATAGTATGATTTTGTTATTCCATATCAAAACTTGGCAGAAACTGACCAAGATGCATTGGTTTAATCTCAAGCTGCCCAATATCTGTGATAGTGATTATGTCAGTATTATCTAGTATACCACTGAATTAGTTTGCTAGGGATGCCACAACAAAAGACCACAACGGGTGGCATAAACAACAGAAATTCATTTTTTCACAGTTTTGGAGGCTAGAAGTTCAAGATCAAGGAATCAGCAGGTCTGGTTTCTTCTGAGGCCTCTCTCCTGGACTTGCTGATGGTCACCTTCTCTTGGTGTCCTCACATAAGCCTTTCTCTGTGAATTTATATTCCTGTTGTCCCCAAGTGTCCAAATGTTTTTTTAATAAGGTCAGCAGTCAGTTTGGATTAAGGCCCACCCTAATGGTCTCATTTAACTCAATTACCTCTTTAAGGACACTGTATGCAAATGTAATCACATTCTGAATTACTGAGAATTCGAGCTTCCACATGTAAATTTTAGGGGAACACAATTCAACCGACAACACTTGCCTAATGAAATTTTCTTTCCATTTTTCTTTGATTCTGAAATATTTGACTCAATATTGTTTTTATTAAAATGCAGGGCTTAGAAATGCATCTAACAAGTAAGTGTAGCCTGACCAATGTGTATGTCTAAATTTGCTTATATTCCTAAATGTAAAGTATCACTGATAATCAATGATCTTTACTCTTGAAGTCTACAGATTATTTTTGCCTATCACATCTTCTGCATCTTTATATCTAATGTCACTGAGCCTTCTCATTTTCTCTCTCATAACATCTCTGGATTATCGATTTTCCTTTCAAGTTTATGACTGTTGTCCTTATTTTAGCAGAACTGAACCCTGAATTGATTTTTCTGTCTCCTCTGATTACTTATTTTCCCATCTCCTGTTTTGCTATGAGATTATTTTTCCTTAAACAGAAAACTTATTTTATTTATTTATTATTTGTTTGTTTGTTTATTTATTTATTTATTAGATGGAGTCTCACTGTGTTGCCCAGAGTGGAGTGAAGTGGCACGATCTCAGCCCGCTTCAACCTCTGCCTCCTGGGTTCCAGCGATTCTTCTGCCTCAGCCTCCCGAGTAGGTGGGACTACAGGCGTGAGCCACCACACCCGGCTAATTTTTGTGTTTTTGGTAGAGACGGGGTTTCACCATATAGGCCAGGTTGGTCTCAGACTCCTGACTTCGTGATCCGTCCGCCTCAGCCTCCCAAAGTGCTAGGATTACAGCCGTGAGCCACCGTGCCTGGCCAAACAGAAAACTTTTACTGTCACCTCTTCCTTCTCTGAAAATTGTCCAATAATTCTGTATCAATTATATGTATTTCATACTTAAAAACAATTCAAGGCTTTCCTTCAAATGCCCTATCTTCCATGTGTAATTGTATTCCTCCTTACTTCCTAGCATGGGTTTTCAGCTCTGGAATGTGTGATCTCGCTAACCACACCTTTAAATTTGCATCTGCAATCTTTTGTTCATGATGCTCCATTTTCCTGAGTCAACCTGTCTCTGCTACTTGATCCTTTAAGGATCAATCAATTTTCTGCTCCTTCCACGTTTCCTTTTCATTCAGTTTCAATATCTGCTGACCTGTTCTTCTTACATGCTTCTGTATCACTTAGAGTTATGAGCTATTCATTTTAGTATTTGGTCCTCTATCCTATTACCTAACTTACTCATGTTTTGTGTTATTTTTCTCATCAGCTTAAGAAGAGAGTATCCATTTCTTATTAATTCCTTACTGTCTCCATAATGGGGACTTTAAATTCTTTTCAAATGAATAAAATATTAATTTGCCTGCACCTAATGTAGGAATAGCTGGATGAAAGACAAAGACACATAGATGAACAATATAATCCATGATGATTTTAAAACTATGGTTTTTCTTATTTTGAAACCATTTTTTTTCTATTCCTTAGAAACATTTTGTGCTTAGAATAATTATAAATGTATTTCCCTCCAATACTGAAGGATTTGATTGCAAATGTAATTTATTAACTTGTTGCCCTAAGAAGCAGTGCATAGTGTTGACTATGGCTAATCAGAAAACTTTCTCCACCTGCTGAGGTAAACTCACTGTTGTTTTTTGTTTGTTTTAATTTTTTTATTAAAAAAAGAACAAGTTTACAGTATGGAATTATGTGCTTAAAGAGGTTGAATTATGACAGAAAAGAACTAGAAAGAAGACGGGAATCAAGCCAACACGAAATAAAAGGTAATGTGTCTTTCTTTCATACGAAATGCCTTTATTCTGGGGTTTTAACTTTCACTTGTATTAACCTAAAGTGTTATATGTGTTACAATGGTCAGTAAGTAGCATAAGCATTTGGCTAGAAGTGTTACTGGTTTTTTTTTTTTTCCCCATTCTTTTCTAATTAAAATACAGAAACGATATCACCAAGTTATAGGGTAAATATCCCATTTGGGAAATAATCTTGAGTTTTTGAACGGAGATTTATTTATGTGAACCTATTAATTATACATTCTGCTTGTACTAAAGATGTCACCATGCAGATATTTTTGTCAAACTTTTAATGGAACATTCTCAGTATGGTTCAGAGAAACATGGTATATCATTTTTATGGCAGTTCATCTTTGGTTTATATCATTTTACTTTTATTTCAGTGCCCAGCAATTTTATTTTTGTAACACTGTATAGTTAAAGAAATTATATAGTGACTTTATGCAGAAATGATATAAGGATTTTCCCCTATAAACCAAACTAGTTCATTAATAATTTTAGCTGGTAATATTATCAGGAACATTGTAAATTGCTGCAACTGCTATGTGCACAAAAATGTTTTATTTGAATAACAAGAAAAGACACTCCATACTGCAGCTTTGTTAGAAAAAATACTGTATTTAAAAACTAATCATCTAAATGTTGAGAAGTACCTTAATATACCCGAGAAAGAATAATTTCAAAAGAGGAATATGTTAGATTATATTCTTAGAGACCATTCTATTTTTATTATTGTTGTTGAAGAAAAAAATACATGATTGGATATAAGATATATGTAAAGGTATTTTTTGGTATAAATTTAAAGGGTTCAAGTGCAATTTTCTTACATGGATATATTTGTGGTAGTGAAGTCTGGGTTTTGGTGTGTCCATCCCCTGAATGATGTACATTGTACCCATTAAGTAATTTCTCATCTTTGGCCACCCTCCCAAACTCCCACCCTTCTGAGAATCCAGTGACTATCACTACATACTCCATGTTCACTTGGACACATTATTTGGTGCTCACTTGTAAGTGAGAGCATGAGGTATTTGACTTTCTGTTTCTGAATTGTTTCACTTAAGATAATGTGAGGGCATTTTCTGCTAAAACTAATCAATCCACTTTTGTTGTTTAAAGGAGAAAAATATTAAGGAAAATACAACCAAAATTTTTAAGGAAAATTTTGGATATTAAAATACTTATTAGTTATATTTCCATTTCCTATTATCCAAGAGTTGATATGTGCAAGCATTATATCAAATTTAGTGGGTATTTCTACATTACATTAATTGTTCAAAGGTAGGCATGGGTCTCTTTTAATCTTCACTTTTAAGGCTTAATTTAGATAATAAAATAGTATGTATTATATTCTCCAATATTAACGTTTAATGCTGTTTTATTCTTTAAGATTTTTTTTAGGTTTCTATAATTTACATTTTTGATAAACAGTGTCAGAAATTACTTTTATCTTTGGCAGGTCTTGGAAAGTACATTAGTTCTAATGGAATGGGCTTGAATGCGTGTGAAAGTGATTGGTTAAAAATAGTTTTCTATGTATGGCTCATCAGAGAGTAGACAGACTCACAATGGATTTCTTGTAACACTTCATTTGATGCATTACTTCGAAGCAAGAAAGTGTTTTTCCATTATCAAAATCGAGTTGTTTGATTTCACTTTATTTTGGGGCCCCAGGAAATTGCAGGTTGTTTTCAGTGCATTGCTGTTCAGTTGAATTGAAATTTGGGAATTAATGGACCAAAGATAGACCCCCAGAAGGAAGTTTGCATTTGACCACACAATGAATGTCTTAGCACACAGATAGATTTTACCCATGGGATACCACTTTGTAGTTTCCTTTCTGAAGTATTTTTATCCAATTGCATTTTATTATGCCTCAGCTCACCACATGAAATGTTTCACATATAGATAGATCTAAAGGAGAGGAATTACCCAGTTGGCCCTATACCAAATGTTATATTAGTATTTGGCAATTGCTGATGAGAGTGTAGCTCTGAGGAAAAAAAAAAAAAAAACCTGCCATGATTCACTATGATCACACACAACTCTATCTGATAAATAGCTGTGAATGAGATCATAAATAGCTTGTTTCCTATGACGATCTGATGACATTTACAGGAATAATTCTCAATTGTGACTAGGGGTCTCTTATTATCGGAAGTGTTATTTAACCTTGACCTTAATGAATAGTTTTCTAAAGTGAAAAGACCATGTGAATATCAAGAACCTAGTAACATTTTATTTTTTGCTAAGAATCAGTCAACACTGATCTCTAGCCATTTATTGTTTAGGTCAAGAAGATTTCTACACAGTTTTAAAGTCAATTCATACATTGCTTGGAAACAGATTTATGGAAAGGGATCTAACTTTAAAAATGAAACAAAAAGAAGTATTTTGTTCTGACGAGGAAAAGTTTGAATTCATGCTTTATTTGCCTTTACCTCATAAACAGATCATGTTAAATATTTGATCACTCTTAACTACAGGTGTGATGATGGAATTTTTGATGGGCACCTATTTGCAGAAATATCATGACCATATAATATGTCTTAGAGTATCAAAATATAAACCTAACTCTAGAAAAAACCAAACATTCCCTATTTACAAATCCATCTAGTGCAAAGAAAACTGGATTTTGTTTTAATTATTGAGAGCATTGTCACGTTCATTTTTTTAAAATGGTGTCTTTAGTAAAATTAAATGGAGAACTGTTGCTGCCACCCACAAGTACTTGCCTAGCTTTTGGGGTTCAAGTGTAGGGTAACCAGTTGTTAGAATGAATCAGTAACTATCAACAGCAGCTGATTATACAGCCAAAATGTGATGCTAACCAACTCACATCCCATTTTCTGAGATCCAAAAACTCCAATGGAATAGGCTAAGGAAAACTCAGAGGAAAAGCTACACTTTAGAACTGACTCGGAGAGACAATTAACACATATAATATAAAATTTCTTTATATAATAAAGAATATTAAGGAAATCCTTTGCTTTGCTGAAGACCAGTGGGGAAGAAAGAGGCAAAACTCTGAGAGGGGACAATAAATGTCCTACTTCTTGCAGAAATTCATTCTGCTTTGGATGCAGCAGTTAATAGTAATAAGACTGTGGGACATGGGCATTCCTCTCATGTTCCTTCTTACCTAAATCCGAAGAAAGATCTAGGACATTTCTTTTGAAATGAGATCATTCAATCCACAAATGGAGTTAAGTAGAGAGATGTGAGACAGACATATGTACAACTTCCAGATTCATATACAGATAGCACTGTGGATTGGCACAGACAGAAAGGACACCAACTAATTTGAAGAACTTCTACTTCTGATAGATTGGAGTACATTAAGTCAGACCAATCTTCCACCAAGAAGAAATAGAAAGGCTAGATAAATAAATTAATGGTAATAAGGAGCTATTTGAAAATAGTAGAAACCAATTAAGAGAGACAGGACTTGAGAGGTTATGATCTTGGAAAAAAGAGAAATGTAAGGAAATGGTGAAACTGTCATTCTCTACTGTTTTTCCTCTTTCTAACAGAGAAGCAGGGAACGAAGTTGGGCGGTGGTGGGGATTGGAATGTAGAGGTGCCAAAACTGCTGGGCCTTCCGGAGCAAAGAATCTATATAAAATAATAATAATAAAATAAGTAAGACTGTACTCCTCTAGAGACATTTGTGGACTTCTAAAAAGGATGGAATTATAAGATAAAAATTGAACAGA